GCAGGATCAGCAAACGACGCGACCATGGCGATGGCGCAGAGATCGATCATGGGTCAGTGGTATTAGCTTGATGCTGGTTGTTTTGTTGATATCTTGGATACCTCCTGCCTCTGCGGTGTTGCTGGACTTTGAGAACTGTCTGGAACCCGCTGTGATTCAATCGGAACCACGACAGCTGCAATTCGTCCCATTCGATGTCTCCGTCGTTTTCAAACAGCATGACTCTCTTCATCCTCTGAACATATCAGTCTATGGCAACGTTTCGGGAACTGCGAACGGGGAGACTTATCCATCGCCGGATGACCCCCAGTGGTCGAACCCGAACGACACTGTCGGAAAGATCGTGGATCTCGATACTGCCAACAACAAATACTCCACCCTTCTGTCGTCAATCGACGTTCTGAGCTTTTCTCCTTACAATGAACCGTCGAGATTCTGCGACTCGGTCTTCCAGGGGTCTTGTCCCCTGGGCCCCGTTTTCTATGTCAACTCGTGAGGAATCCCTTTTTCTTCGGCGCTGTTTTATACTGGTATCGCGCACTGGCTAACAATATCCTCGCTGTATAGGTCGGACCTATCCGCTTTGCGCGCTTTTTCGATTGAACACGACATGCTTTCCTCATACTACTTTTCGACCTTGTCGTCAAGACTTGTGATCAAATCTGGCGACGCTGCTGCCACGAAGCTCGGTTGTATATCCGTCGCAATAACCCCCGATCTTGGGTCGTCTCTGAAAAGCACCTTGGCTTATATCCCCCTCGTTATTCTTGTCCTGGTCGGAATCGCCACGGTAACGGCAGCGATCTACAGCCCATGGGGTACCACGGACCCCTTCCACTGGACCAGCAATTATGGTCGTGACGAAGATGTGCTCCGATTAGTAACGCCGGGATTTGGAGACTGCCTACAGTACATTCAGTTTGCAGTGTTGACCGGCTCTCTTACCCTGAACTATCCTGGTTTTTATCAGCCTGTGATCAGCCGGGTTGCTTGGTCCGTACTCATGTTCAATCAGAGTTTCCTGGATCCAGGGAACGAGCAAAACCCCGTCAAGGACGGTGTGTATGCCGTCAATGCTACCTACGGATTGGACAAACTGGATCAATATGTCGGCATGCCTGCAGCGCGTGATATTTGGCCGGGAATGATGGTTTGGCTACTGGTGATTCTAGTCGCCGTCACACTACTAATCCAGGTGGTTTTTGGTTTGCGTTCAATCTCTCGCAAGATCGCCAATAATCCGGAGGAGGACCTTCGATCTAAAAACATGCCTTTCACCGTTGGGAACATTGTCCGGGTCGTCTTCAATTTTCTACTGCTCCCGGTCCTATCAATATCTTTTTTCCAGTTGGTTATTGCCAGCGAATCCCCGGCATATTCTGTCGCACTCGCAGTTGTGGTCATAGTGATTCTGGCAGCCTTCTCTCTCTGGACAGTGCGGCTCATTGCGAACACTCGGCCCAAGTCCTACCTTTTCGACGATCTTTCGACCGTACTACTCTACGGCCCGCTTTACAATACGTTCTGTGACGATGCAGCTGCCTTCGCTTTGGTGCCAATATTCCTGACGTTCGTTCGTGGTATTGCGATTGGGGCGCTACAGCCCTCCGGCATTGCCCAGATCGTACTACTGGCTATATGCGAGGTGGTGTCGATCTTGACACTGATAGCCTTCAAGCCGTTCCCGTCACCAACGTCGATGAACCTCTACCATGCGTGCTTCTCCATCGTTCGCTTCCTGACGATCTTGCTCAGCGTCGTTTTTGTTCCTTCATTGCGCATCTCACAGGCCGCTCGAGGATGGATTGGATATATCATTCTGTTCCTTCATGCGCTTGTAATGGTTTTCGGATTCTTTTTGAACGCTCTGCAAACCCTTATCGAAGTCATTGCACGACTCGCCGGTGCGGGTGGTTACGAAGGAGGTGTCACCCGTGGTGGCCTGGTTAAGGTTTTCGGTATGCGGCAACTGTCACGGCGTGTGCCCAGACAAAGCGTCGCTACTCGTCAAAGTATGGGATCAGAAGCTGCCATGCTAGCGCACACCGATGACCGGCTGTCATCCCAGTTCGATGGGTCGAGACCTCGCAGTCTTTCGGGAAGCTCAGCCATGCTTTTGAACCGTGCTGGTGCAAGTGAAGGGCGGGCTAGCGCGATTTTCGACTCAGGCAGCGCGCACGGCGGAAACCACAGTCGGGCAAATAGTAGCGGTTTCTTTACGCCCTCAACGCCTGGTGGCTTTGCTGCTGGGTATCAGACCCCAGGAAGCAACTCCCCGAAGAGCGGTCCCGTCTTTGCAATGCATCCGCATGACCCTTACTATCGGCCGCCGCGGCCTCGGAAGAAGGTCGTGGACATGGGAGCTGCCGGGGAGAAGGGTAGAGCATCGCGGCACACCCACAGATCCTCAAGTTACGGAGAGATCGATGATGACATTATCGAAGGGCCGTCGGTCTCTGGAAGGGGCACGCCTACTCCCGCGTATATTCCGGCACCAAAAGATGACCTTGACCTTGATGATCCCCGGCAGTCACGCAAGGACTACGCGGTCCGTGAAGTCGACTTCTACTACCGAGTCCGGGGGCCGCCATTATCCCAGTCGGGCACCCGCAAGTTGAAGACTGGTCCAGCCGACCCCACTGGGCCGGTTTCTTCTGCTACCGGCTTCTTCCGTAGTCTGTTCCGCGGAAAAACCAAGGAGAAAGGAAAAGGCTTCGAGGTCGTACGCAGCAGCAGGGCACCACCGCCTGGTCTCTTTCCTGAAAGTGAAGAGTTCCATGACCAACATGAACCCTACCGAGACGAACCTGACGAGCAGGCTGCCACAGAGCAGAACCGCGAGGCCTCGGAGGCCAATGCTCAATACCGCGATTCGGATGGAGAAGGAAACGAGCGGTCTACGGAGACGCAGACTGTTCTGCCCAAGGTAGAAACGGGCGGCGACATTGAGCTTCCAAGTCGCGCGGGTTCTCAGCATAGCTCACAGTCTCCGCCTCGACCGGGTGCCGGACGCCAGGGTTCTATACGTTCTCTGGCTCCGGAAGAGCTGGATTTGACGCAGAACCCTCTCTCTGTGGTGACGGATACAGCCGCTCTGCAATCAATGGAATCCGGTCATGGAGCACCATCTGTTCATAATCAAGGGCAACTCCATCCGTCGGCCTCTGTAACTGGTCGGTTACCATTCACTGCTACCAGCTCGCCCTCCCGAGATCGCAATTTTTCCATTGCTTCCACGACCGCATCCACCACTTCAAGTCGTCGGGTAAACGATGGAAGCACACGTGTTGAGCGTCCGTCCAGTATGGGTTACGTTGCACAGTACCGCACTCAGGATAATATCCACGAAGCCAGTCCGGACGAACCATCGTTTGCGGGCAGCGCCGCCGAACTGGTGGATGAAGCGCATCACCACGACGAGGCACACTGAAGGCCAGCCTCGTCAGTCTGAAAGCATAAGCGAAGCTATCTTCCATCGGCATTGCTGTGGAGATGACGAATTTCTTTTCCCCCCTGTGTCGTCAACAAAAGGATTATGTGCAAGGAGTTTGTGATATATGGGTTTGGATTTCCGTTAAATAAGCAACCGGATCCCGCAGCATTCTGCTGGCCAGCGTGTGTCTTTTCTTTTCTTTTCTTTCCCTCCTCGTTTTTCATTCTTGTATCCACCTTTGTCTCATATCCACATCTTCTGTCTAAACCTCCCCTGCTCATGCATCGTGGCCCGTAGTTACGGCAGCCACGATTTCGACCCCTTTCCCCTGTAACCCGGCCAGTTAGGCATGGGTACGGCCTTTTTGTGTTCTGCAATCCCAGCGTCGCATCTTGTATAGGTTGGCGGATTCTTTTCGTGTATGGACTGTTAGGCAATAATTTCATTTAACTATAGTGAACGGAGAATGGAGGATAGGCGTTTACATTAGCGCTGATAATGCTAAATAGCAACAACTATGCTAGTGAAATATTTACACACATACTTAGCGGATAGAGCGATTGTAGTCCATTGTTCAAAGATGAGTGTGAGATACGAGTCATGTGAAATCATCAACGGCAGCATAACCCGAGCACCAGCCTATCTCTGATTGACGAGAGGAGATCCCCCCGTTGGCCTGACTATCAGAGCTGACTGATCCACCAGATCAGTAATTCATATGCACGGTGTCCCTAGATTCTCCGAGGCCTGGCTAGAAACACTGATAGTAAATACTCCTGACGGAATTGGCTAGTCTGGTCATCCCTGATCGGAATAATCGGCGCGAGCCTCGTGGGTGATGATAAAAGAGGCACACACAGACACACACCCGCAGACACCGAGAGAGAGACAAAGAAAGAGCAAGTACTAGTAGTTTAACTAAAAAGCTCACCTCTCGGACCGCCATTTTGCCCCGCGGCCAGTCCTCGGCTTGTTGAACGTCAGCCAGCGGCAAAGCGCCTGACTGACCATCACGCCCTCACTCACACAACTCTTGCGGCTGGCAGTCTCTTGTCCCTTTCGCAGCCGCGTTGGTCATCCCTTTCCTGATCAAATTGCTGTCAGCAGGGAGGAACTGGTGCTGGTGCTTCTTCGGGGCGCGTGCTTCTCCTTCTCATCGCCCGAGTCACGAGACCCCCCTCCTGGCCGAAGATTTGCCTTCGACGCCCAAAAGTCCGAACGTTCTCGATTGATTTCCTTTTTTTCAAAACCTTTGCATCCACTGTCTATCTGCTTTTTGTTTTTTTTCTTGACAATTAATTTCGCTTTCTTCTGTTTCCTCCTCAGGTAGAAGACTGTACCCCAGAACCAGTCTTCTCCCCTATCATCATTCACGCCTGCTACAACGCTATCCGGAAACGCGGTTCTGCCTTATCCCTCCCCTCCCCCAATCCTGGCCTCGTCGCGCCACTCAGTCAATGACGGTCCGTCGTCCAAACGGCGGAGATTAGTCTCCTCTGCAGCGTCCTCCGGCAGATATCCAGCTTCAGCATCGACCTTTTCTACGCCTGCTCCTTTTCCTCAGTTCATGTCGTCCCTGTCGAGTCCGGCATCTTCCCGATCTGCTTCATCCTCCACCACCACCGCAGCAGCCGCAGCCGCCGCTTTCGCCGCCCCACCGCCTTCTTCTGGTCTCAGACCTCATGCGAGCTCGGAGCATTTACGGACAAGTGAGGCCGGTCCTGCACTAGATAGACGTACTGAAAGACGGCGATCCACTCTCAGCGGGTCGGATCGTAAGCGACGGATAGTCAGTCTGGAGGCGGATGCGTGGTCGAGGCGTGCAGTTCCCGAGCCGTTGACGGACACCGGGCCGAGCAGTAGCAGTCGAGCAGCAGCAATGGATAGCAGGTCTATCCCCCGGTTTTCCTCGTTCGAGACGCAGACGCAGACGCAGACGCAGACCCCCCAGGATCCTCCTCCTTCATCCTATGCCAATCCCATCGATCTAACATCACCCCCACCGCAGACCCGGCCGCAGGGTGCATCTAGCTCGACTGACAACTACCGTCGGGGATCATGGTCACGGACGGGTACTGGTGCTTACGTGGAGTATACACGGCCGCAATGGCAGCCTGATGCGGAGGTGACGAAATGTCCCATCTGCGGGACAACTTTCAGCTTTTGGTACAGGAAGCATCACTGCCGTAAATGTGGCCGGGTCGTGTGTGCGTCATGTTCCCCCCACCGGATCACTATTCCCCGACAGTTCATCGTGCGCGACCCCAATCGTTCTTATGCATCCTCCTCTCTGATCCCCCCGCGCGCGGCTCCGGTCATTGATTTGGAAGGCGATGACGCCGCCACGTCCCCAACTGCCCTCAACCCGGCCCTGGGGGGCGGGGAGGAGGTGCGGCTGTGTAACCCCTGCGTCCCAGATCCCAACCCAGACCCGCCTCGTGGGTTTGCAACTGTTCGGAGCCGCGGGGGAGCAGAATCACGTTCGGGCATAGGGCAGGGGGCTTACCCTACTTCATTCAGTCAATCTGGACATCGATCTTATCATTCCGTGTCATCGCCCGCTAATCAAAATCCTCACAGTGGAGGCCTGGTGAGTCTCAACGTATGCTTTCTCGGAATGCTTCCCCCCACTGACAAGATGACAGCAGCAACCAGGTACATTTCCCTCACGGCCAGGACGACGGACCGTAGGCTCAAGCGATTATACCTCGTTTGGTGGATTGGGCGGCGCCTTTGCTCCACGGCTGCAGGAACGGCCCAGGCCCATTGATTACGGATCATTGTCTAGTTCCCGCTTCCATCCCATCTCAATGGGTTCCAGTGCCTCCTCTCGACCGCTGCCGTATCCAGGTGTGGGAAGTGCCAGTTCATTGCCCGTGTCGTCAACAGCCCGATCTTCGTCTCTCGGGGTAGCGCCGTGGCGGCGGCCCCACGTCGAAGAGCGCGATCTCTGTCCGATCTGTGACCAAGAGCTCCCACCTTTAGGTAGCAACGGGGACGAGACTAGTCGAGAGGCACATATCCGCGACTGTATTGAGAGCCATAGTCGACAGGGTCGCATGTCCCCGCAGAACGGTAGCCCAGCAGCGTCCTCACCCGTCCCCGTTCGTCTGGTTGTATTCAAGGCGACGGAGAAGGACTGTGTGGGGCAGGATGGAGGGTTACAGGAGTGCACCATTTGCATGGAAGAATACGAGGTTGGGCAGTCGCTGGTGCGGCTGGAGTGTCTGTGCAAATTCCACAAGCGATGCATAGTTGAATGGTTTGAGCGGAAGAAGGAGTGCCCGGTGCATAAAGTCTCCTGAATGAGCCTGATGTCATGTTGATTTGTCGTTTTACAGCGGGCCTCTTTTGTACTGTGCAAGTTTGGTTGCGGCTGGATATCCGCCTTCTTGTTGGTCCGATGGTGGCTTTTTCCCCTTATTTTTGGTGAGGCAAATGTACTTTCCAGCACAATTTCGCCGAGCCGGCGTCCTGGCCCTGTGGTCTGTTGTCACTCATTGTTCTTTGCAGCTGTCAAGCAGCTTGGGGTTATTGTGTTTGGTTGAAGAGAGTGATGAGTTTCTCTCTGGTTGGTGTTCTTGATCTCCCCCTCATGTTTGATGCAATTAGTTCGGGCGCGTGAGTTCTTGGCCATTTAGTTAGAGCGACTGCTGTTTCCCCGGGACATTGGACATTTACGAATGCTACACCTTTTACATACTCCTTGATCAGAGAAGTGACCGATAAGAGTAACTAATTTATGGATCGAAAAGGGGGATGGGATGGCAGTTGGTGCACACGTAAGCAGCGATAGGAATGGCAGCCTGAGGGTGTTGAGTCATCCATCCATCGAAACCAGATAGATAATTTATGGGAAATGCGTCAAGGAAATAATTTGATCTTCCTGGCCGCTATTGATTGAAATGGATGGTATTTATGATATTATCAGGATACGAATATCTTATGGACTGGCGGCAGATTAGGAGAGAGACGTAGAAACAAGAAATCGCAGGCGACAGAAAGCCGCCCCTCCACTTGAGGCTCCTTCGCTCGTCTTTTCGCGTCTCCGCGTTTTCTCTCTTTTCTGCTTTCTTCTTCTTGTCATCTCTTTCTCCTCGCACAATCTGTCGCATCAAACCCGGCAGTGGACCTCCATTTCCTCTGAACGTGGTTCCCGATACCTTATGCTTCTGATCCAGCATCTCCTGGAGGGACTCCTATTTAAGGCTTGAACACGCACCCGCCTGAGGCCTCCACGGTCGGCTGTCGGTCACCGACCGTCCGGTTCTCCGACCTTCGCCCAACTGCAGCCTCCCAAGCGAGTCTGGCGTCGTGCCTTTCCACCCCCTCATCTTCTACTCTCTCAAATTAAAAATGTAAGCTTGATGCTCAGTTCGGTCTCCTTACTATCCCTTCTAGGATTAACGCGCGCGCGCGGCCAAGCGATCGGAAATCCTTGCCGGTCGTTGATATTGATCCGTTGGCCATGGCGACCATCATCCACCCGTCGTGCAACCCAGGCTGACGTGCCTTAAACCCAGTCCCCGCAAACCGATGGAGATCGATCCGCGTCTGCGTGCTGGCAGTGACAGCTCTCCTGCCGACGGCACCGCAGCCGGTCGTCCATATATCCCTCCCCCGGTCTCTTCCAGACATCCCGACCCCAATGCCGCCGGTCCCTCCACTCTTGCACGCCGCAGCGATTACCCCGAACCACCGTCCCCTTACTCTCCCGCTGACCAGCTGCGATCCGCCGTCTCGTCTGCAAGTGGGCCCGGCTACTACGGCAGCGCCGCGCACTCCCAGTCGACGCCATCTATATACCGAAGCGGGCCTGAACCTGGCTCGGTGCCCAGCACATCCTCTCAACTCGACCCCGTCGATCCGAACGATCCGTATGCCGAATTGCGACGCCCGCGCGCCTGCGAAGCATGCCGTCAACTCAAAGTCCGATGCGAGCCCGATCTTAGCCATCCCAATGGCACGTGTAAACGATGCGCCAAGGCCGGCCGGAACTGTATCGTGACCGTTCCCACGCGCAAGCGCCAGAAGAAGACCGACAGTCGTGTGGCGGAGCTCGAGAGGAAGATTGATGCCTTGACGGCAAGCTTGCAGGCCTCCCAGGGCCATGAATCGCACCCTCTTCCGCCACCCGCCGCTCTTGAGCCGCCGCGCGAGGAGCATCCGGGAAGGCGCTGGCTCTCATCCACGGCGCATGCCTCTACGAATGGATCGATACCCTTGAGGTCACCTTCCAGCACGGCGGGGAGCAAGCGGCGGCACAGTGGGGAGATCAAAGAGACTGCTCCAGTGTCTTCTCGCACTTCGAGCCCTAGCGACGACCAGTCATTGTACAATAAGGCTCTCAAACAATGGCGGGCTATGGGATACGGCTTGGAGACACAGCCTAAAGATACGGCCAGCGAGGGCGGGGGTGATCTGATTGACAGAGGCGTCGTGAGTGAGACACTGGCTCAGGAGGCATTTACCAAATACGTCGATCGAATGGCCACCCTCATACCTATGGTGGTGTTCCCACCAGGCACAACAATGGATGAGGTGCGGCAGAAGAAGCCGGTGCTGTTTCACGCTATAGTTGCCGCCGCGATCGGTACTATTCAACCACACCTGCAGCTATCTCTGCTGGATGAATTCTACAAAGTGCTTGCCGAACGAGTTATCGTGAAAGGTGAAAAGTCACTGGATCTAGTCCAGGCGATCCTAGTCTGCTGCAACTGGTACACGCCCCCAGACAACTTCGAGGAGGTCAAATTCTATCAGTTGTCAAACATTGCTGTCTCACTCGCAATGGATCTGGGTCTCAACCGGAAGGCGATCCCCAAGTCCAAGCCGTTCGCCCTAGTCAAGGAGCTTATCTCGAAGAAGTCATCTATCGTCGTAGACCTGGATTCAGCCGAGGCGAGACGAACTTGGCTTGCTTGTTACTTCGTCGCCGTGCAGTTCGTATCCCCTACCTATCATGCTAAAATGACCGCTAACAACCATACAGGTGTGCCGTCTCTTTGAGACGCGTGAATCTAGTCCGATGGATGCCATATATGGATGAATGCGTGGAAATACTCGAAAAGTCACCAGAGGCCTTACCATCCGACAAAGGCATGATCCAATGGGCAAAGCTAGCCCATATCCTCGAAGATATCGCCGTCCAGTTCACCAGCGACGACGCCCCTACCGTATCATCCTTCTCAGACCCAAAGTTCCTCTACACGCTCCGCGTCCTCGAAAGACAACTGGACCAATGGCGCCGAGAAACTCCACCAGAGCACTTTTCCCGTATGTCAAACCCCCCAATCCAATTCCCCAGCTACCTACCTACCTACCTACTAACCACACCCCCAGCCATCCTGAAACAAGCCGACTGCATCATCAACCTCTTCCTCCACGAGAATGCCATGCACGTAGAATTCCACCGAGACGATCCCAAAACCGCCAACGACGATCTCGCCAGCCCCACCAGTCCAGCTCACATCAACGCCCTCAGCACCTGCCTAACCTCCATCCACGACGCCATCGACACCCTCTGCTCCATCGAAACCAAGGACCTCGTCCTAACCCCGACCGTCGCTCTGGCCCGAACCTCCTTCGCCATCGTCGCCCTCATCAAGATCTACTCCATCGTCTCCAGCCCAGACACCCGCATGGCCCAAGTCATCGACCTCAGCAGCCTAAAGACAGAATACTACCTGGACAAGGTCATCCGTCATTACACCAAAGCCGGCGAAACCCCAGGCGGTCGCACCCCAGCTAAATTCAGCGTTGTCCTGAGTCTCCTCCGGAACTGGTTCATGAAACGCAAAGACCAGGGTCCTGTCCTCAAGGAAGCATTATCGTTGTACAAGTGCTCTGATGAAGAGCGACTTCAGGTTCGTCCTACCCCCTTCCCCCTTACCCTATCCATCCTACATATCCATCCCTATCCCTATACCAACACTCAACACTCACTAACCCATACCCAGCAACCCCCCCAACAAGACAAACAAACCCAGGCTCAAGGCCAAGGCCAAACCCCCCTCCACCTCCTCAGCGAAGTCGCCATGGGCGATCCTCAATCCCGCTCTACCACCAACAACCCATCTCCAACCCAAACCCAAACAACATCCACCAATAGACCAATCTACACGCCCAACACCACCACAAGCACAAGTACATACCCCGACCTCCTGACCACCCAACCACAACCCCAACAATCCCCCTCATCATCATCAGACCTCCCCGTCCCTCCTCACTCCCATTCCCATTCCCACTCTCACACTCACACTCACACCACCGACTCCACCGAACCACAACAACAACCTTCATCAACCTGGGTGCAACAATACCCCCCTCCACCCCGCCAATTCTACCCTACTTTCAGCCCCTCATACCAAGATGTTCAAGGGTTCGGGACTGATCCGAGCAATGGAAGTAATGGGAATGGGATGGTGGTTAGTACTCCTGGTTCTGGTGCTGGTGCTGCTACTGGTAGTGGTGCTAGTGCTAGTGGGGGTGGGGCAGGGGGAGGAGGAGGAAACCCAATACAGGGTTTGTTTGTTCCCGAGTTGGGGGTGCAGATGGGGTTTGATCCGGAGAATCTGTTCATGTTGGGGAATATGTTGGGTGATGAGATTCTGAATTTGCCGTTTCAGGCGGATGGGGGGATGGGCATGGGGATGGGGATGGGGTTTTATTGAGGTGGTTTTGGAGTATGTAGATATTTTGATTCTGGGGAAGGTGGATTTGTTTATATATATGTTGATGATATCCCTACTCTTGGTTAAAAATATTTTGATCATGTGTATCTATACTATTGTAGTACAGTTCAGGGTATATTTATATACATAGGAAAAAGTCATAAAGCTAGGCTAGTACTTTTGTTCTTGTCCGATGGTGCAGATAGGACTGATCGGATATATGTTCCTCGAGTCATCCTCCATCATACCGTAAATTAACAAACCGTTCGCGTGCAGTACCCATTCAAGAGGCTTATCACAAGTCAGTGGGTATGGTCATAAGACCCACTCACTCAGCACGCCACGGCGAATAAGCGAGGTATAATCCCAACAGCCTCCTCCCCGGTCCCACACGCTATTGTGATAAAGTGCGAAAGGAGCCGACTCCATTCGGCCGAGGCTGCATTAGCGAGGAAACAGCTGTCCTGCGGGTCGCCGTGCCAGACTGCCAGTGTCTGCAAGCCGGCGTACTCCGGCACTGGCTGGACCATTCCCCACTTGCTGATCATGATTCGTAGCGAGCATCGGACAGAGCAAAAAACAGCGGTCAAGTGTGGTAGACTCTGGAGAATTGGTGGTCTTCGAGCACTTGT